TAGCAAAACTTAAAGTAATTTCTAGCAATTTTTTAATATCAAAAAGTTGATGCTAGCACTTTGAGATTTCAGATCTCCTAACACTTCCCCTTGGTTTTTCTCATGAGTCTAATACAGAAAGTGAGAAAGGCCTGTGATATGAAAAGCCTTATATTTGACCTTAGAGTAGTCTTGCTTTAAAATCGAGTTTCCCTTTATTACAAAACACACTTGAACTTCAGACATTTCAGTTTTGAGTTTGAACGTGGCTAATTTGGCCCAAGAAAGATGTTCAAATTTGGGCCACTCCCACATCAAATACATAAAATGAGCACTCTGAACCATTTTCTAGATCAAGGAAACAAGTTATTTCTGCTCGGTGCTAAGGCGGAATAAACTGGTCTCAATTTCAGTTCCTGTGAATATCTGAGTTTTTCTAACTATAGCTTGGGTTGCTTTGTGTTTTATTACTTTTTGTTTGTTTGTTTAGAAAATTCAATAAATTGGTCACTGTAATTCTTCTATTCTTACAGCAACTTTTTCTTGTTAATTATTTTCTGAGTCAATTCATGGCTAGGACTGTGCTTTAAAGTACCTTCCCTATAAAAATGTGTTTTTTTATTTTGAAGAGTTCTTTTTAAGAGGTTTTTATTTTATTTATTTTTAGAGGAGAGGGGGAGAGAGATAGATAGATGAGAGAGAGAGAGAGAGAAAGAGAGAGATGAGAGCAAAACCTCGATTGGCTGCCTCTTACACCAGCCCCCACGGGGGATTGAACCCACAACCCGGGCATGTGCCCTGACCAGAATTGAACCCATGACCTTTAGGTGCACTGGACGATGCCCAAAAGTGGTTTTCTTATTTTTGAAGTTGTGAGATGCTGCGATTGCAATATCAACAGATAAACATAGCTATAGAAACTATAGCAACAACTCTTCATGCCTGACCCACTTAAGTAGGTGAGTCAGTAGTAGAATGAAGCAAAAGGTGCTGTAAAAACAGTGCAAATAATATGAATCAAAAACATCTTTACTTTTGTAATCTGTAGTTGGTACTATTACTCTTACCTCTCTGGTCTTGGCGATTTATCTGCTATCAAATAAATATTCTAATGAATACCAGCCCTCACTTCCACTACCAGCTGACTTATGATTAGATCATTCAGGTCCTGTGATTGCCATTTTATCAAATCTTCTCCCTTAAGGAAGTGATATTTCTTGAATTGTAATGCCCTTCAACTCTTCCAAAGGTTTAATAAAGGAACTGCAAAAACACAGGACTTTATTCTGATATAAAAAGTCTTGATGATTCCATATTGGGCACCAATTTAGAGAAAAGATTTTCCAATTTGAATATAATGAGCAACATAAACTGATGAACAAAAATAGAGCCAGAGACATAGAAGCATCGAACAGACCATCCAACCTAAGAGGGAAGGCGGGGAGGTGTGTGTGTGGGGGCGGGGGGGGGGGGCGTGTAAGAGATCAACCAAAGGACTTGTATGCATGCATATAACCATAACCAATGGACACAGACAGTAGTGTGAGGGCATGTGCTGGGGGTGGGCGTGGCCAGGGAGAGGTGAATGGGGGAAAAGGGAGACTTATGTAATACTTTAAACAATAAAGAATTGAAATTATAAAAAAAAGGATTTTCCATTTTAAAAGAGGATGAAAAATACCAAGCACTCATCTCATTGTAATATATTGTCTTTAGAAAAAATACTGTATTACCTGGTTAGGTAGTTTTTGTTGTTATTTTTTTAATGTTTGGGTCAACAGTTTATAGTATTGGCAAGTCCAATTTTCTGAAATTGTGAATATAACTATATTTATTTTATGATTTTTTCCCTGTTACTTTTAGGACTTTTACAAAAACACGAAACTCTAAAAGATGGCCATTCTTTATAATAGGACAAATAAAATATAAATAATTGGCATTTGTATATCTGTGTTAGAGATAATAATGATGATGACAATAGCAGTCGGTTGATGTTATGTTCCATGTATTCTACTAAGTTTATTTGAGCTTCATAGCAATTTCATGAGATGAGTAGTATTATTACCTCTGTTTTACTGAGGAAATAAAAGTACTATTATTATCCTCATATTACTGATAAAATTAATGCTCAGAGAAGTTAAATAATTTGCCCAAAAGAGAAAGTGGTAGAGCCAGAAGTTAAACCCACGTCTGTCCAATTCCAAAATTTGTGCTCATAATCTTTACGTTATAATAAAACAGAAGAACAAAATATCTGCCCTAAATGTATGAACAGAATCACATTTCCAAAAATATTGGATCCCACAGTCTAGCAAAAAAACTTTATTTTAAAATTTTATTTACACAAAATCTTATGAAGCCATAAACATCAACTAGACATTTAGCTGAACATTAAACAACTTTTACAGTGTAAATTTGAAATTGGAAGCATAATGGAGAATAGATCTATATCTATAGGTATGATTAAGTAAAGTGATCAGCCTTAAACTGTGCCCGTAAAATGAATTTAAGTGGAAAAAAAAAACCTTTAATAATTTGTAAATAGGTTTACATCCTCTAGTATTCTGAGAAATCAAGCTATTAAATTGCAGCTCTCAGGTTATAAAGGCAAAATACACAACCTCGTATCAGTTGAATGTGGTTTATCCACCTTCTTGTCTTAAAATATTTGTGGGAGGTGGTGTGTGTGTGTGTGTGTGTGTGTGTGTGTGTGTGTGTGTGTTCTTCACATCAGGAGGACAAATTTATCTTAGAATTGTAATGGTTCCCAGATGTTTGTTTTTCAAAAATAAATAAAGAAAAAAAAGTTTCAAATGTGGTGATAGCCAGGTATTTATTGGTCTCTAAAACAAGAATGATGTCATTTCACTTGGAGTTTATTGACACAAAACTTCCTTTTGGCTGAGAAAATTTTCAGCACTGTGAGTATGGCTTTAATTAAGAGAGAGACCGATCACTGTTGATTTTGTTACAAGAGAGGAACGTCTTTGTGCATTGTGTGGATTGTTTTGTGCATGATCACAATGAAAATGTAGAAAGGACTACTGGCAATGTGTAGATTTGTATCTACTGTACTTTATATCCATTTCTGGATGCCACTGAACATCATTGTTTAGAAAGCTCTTTAGGCTTATGATATTTTGAAATATAAAAGTATTGGATTCACTTTTTTTTTTAAGAAGGCCATGCAGTGGTAATTGACATTAAAAATGAATATTCTAGCCCTAACCGATTTGGCTCAGAGGATAGAGCGTCGGCCTGCGGACTCAAGGGTCCCAGGTTCAATTCCAGTCAAGGGCATGTACCTTGGCTGCGGGCACATCCCCAGTGGGGAGTGTGCAGGAGGCAGCTGATGGATGTTTCTCTCTCATTGATGTTTCTAACTCTCCCTTCCTCTCTGTAAAAAAAAAAAAAAAAATCAATAAAATATATTTAAAAAACTGAATATTCTAATTTTACCTCTGAGGCCAAAATTCTATTTATTTTTAAATCCTCACCCAGGGATATGTTTATTGATTTGAGAGAGGAAGAGAAAGGGGTGGAGCTGGGGGCAGAGAAACATCCTTCGGTTGCCTCCCTTACAGGCCCCTCACCAGGGACTAAACCCAGGAAACCTACTCCCCACAGCCTTTTGGTGCAGGGACAACGCTCCAACTGAGCCACCTCGGCCAGGGCTGTCGTGCAAAATATTTAAATATCATTTTAAAATATAAGAAAGTGTCCCCTGAATTTAGGAAAGCCACAATAAATCACAGTTCCTCTAATTACCTTTGGAAGTTCGCTTATTCACAGATTTGTGGCAAATCCTCTAGAGCAGCGGTTCTCAACCTGTGGGTCGCGATCCCTTGGCGGTCGAACGACCCTTTCACAGGGGTCGCCTAAGACCATCCTGCATATCAGATATTTACATTACGATCCCTAACAGTAACAACATTACAGTTATGAAGTAGCAACAAAAATAATTTTATGGTTGGGTCACAACATGAGGAACTGTATTTAAAGGGCCAGAAGGTTGAGAACCACTGCTCTAGAGCCATATAATCTGAAGTACAGATCATGGCCTCAAAATCTGAAGCATGATATGCACATAAGAATCTTTAAATAGTTGTCTATCTTCAAGTGATATCCAATAAAACTTGAATTGCATTAGTGTTGTGAGGCAAAACCCCCCTCTACTTCAAAATCCTAACCACTTTACTCCACATCCATCGAGTCATGTAATTCTTAGTTCTCCATTCACCTCTTTATGGGACCTGGAAAAAAGAAAAAAGAGGAGATAAATAAGTGGGTCTAAACTTGAATAAGGAGGTGTAATGTGTGCCCTCACCTGGCTTGGAGATGAATGGGAATGAAAAAAAAAAAAGTAAGTAGATAAAAAGGACATGTTGAAAGGACAGGTCTCTGTGGCCAAAACTTTGTTGATGATAAAGTAGAAAACTTCAAATAATGCTAAATGAAGCATAGTCGCTGCTACATTATTTGGATACTTATGTGACTTCTGCAGAGCTCCCAGCGTGCACCAAG